AAGGAGAAGGAGAAGGAGAAGGAGAAGGAGAAGGAGAAGGAGAAGGAGAAGGAGAAGAGCTGCACAGCATATAGTGTCTTGCAGTCCAGACTGGCTAAAAATAGGACTCTCATAGCTCCTGGACTGAAGCTCACAAAAGGCATTCACGTAGCAAAGTGCATTAGCACTTCATTATTAAACTAATTAAGAACAGCCTGCATCTCCCACTCGCTCTTATTAAAAGAAGCAAGAGAAAAATGAGTTATTCTAAGAAACTAAAATAGCCAGGAACAACTCAATGGTCAGAACATGATTAAAAGAAGCAGCAACTTCTGGAGAAAATCCAGGACAAAAAATAAAGACAAAACCAAAACAGCCATGCCTTTGGACTCTCCTGAAGTCACTTATGGCTTGCAAAGATGTATTATATTACAAAGCAAGTTTCCACTGAGAACTTCAAAGTTTTCTGCTTTGTCTCTATTAAATTCACTCAGAGCTGTTAGAGTGTTATGGCCTGTCTAGTCATAATTTTTTGTTGGACATAAAACCAGAATATGGAAAATGACCTTGGGACACATTTTACCCTGCACATCTTTATGAGGAGTATGGGAAGCCACTCCTCCTGTAGTTAGAAGCTACTACAGTCAAAAACATAATCCAGAAATTGACTGTCTAAAATGGAACCCAATGAAGTCCCATTATTAAAGCTGACTAAATTTACCACATGAAAACACCAATACCAAAAGTTAAACCTCAGAAAATCCACTTTCCCATTAAGACACACTGGTTATATTCCCTTTTCTTTATTCTTCATCTTCTTGGTTGGTCAACTGTTTCCATTGCCCAAATCTGTTCTGATGTCATTTTTATCTTATACTCTGGTAGAACAGCTTTGCAACAGTCTGTCCAAGCTCTTCCTTCTTTTTCCTTTTTTTCTGGGACTTACAGCTGAATTTGGTACACTACATATCCAGTTACAAAAAGAGAAGTGTTCTGGATCTGGATGCAGGTGTGTCAGGAGGAGATGTTCTGTTCATATGTGTTGGAGAGGAAGCAATGAGATTATTGCAAGCAGGAACTGT